AAAAAACAACTGCATGTAAAATAATCACACCGTGAGCCTCTGCCTTTGTAAATGGAGGGACAGTAACTGCTGTAAAACCTGCAGACAGTCAGATTAACAGTATTTCGTCTCTATCTGCCATTCTGCAGTTCATCTCATGTAAACAATAACGTGGCCACAGCGTGGAAAAAGGCACATACCTTTGACGCTGCGTGACGAACTCTGTATTCCTCGTCCACACGTAAACGCAAAAAAAGGAGTTTTAAGAATCTCCGTTTTCAGTGATTCGAAACGGCGTTTACGTGGACGAAACAGCTGCGTTTTCAAAAATACCCGTGTAGGTGCGGACGCAGCGTAAAAGAGTTCGTAGTTTATTTTATTACCTGTAATTTATTGCAGATTACTTGTATTTGCTTAATTGTTTACTAAATGTTTGAGGTGTGAAGTAAACTGCAATGGAGCAAAATATGGGCGTGTGGTTGGAGGATGTGGTTGTGCGTGCGCGCCGGGGGGCAGCATTCTTCTTGTAAAACAAAGGGGGGCCTAGCGAAAAAGTTTGGGAACCACTGGCTTAAACGGTGTGTAAAGAATGGAGAACAAACTTTGTCCAAAAACCTGTCGTGTTTTTTTTTTTAGCAGTCTCTTTTTTTCTGCAAAATGAAAACCAAGTTAGCCTCTTCTGTTGATACAACACCTCCTTTGGTTGGAAGCGGTGCTTAAACAATGGAAAACACAAACTTTGTCCTAAAACCTCTCATATCTGGCTGGCCTCGTTATCAGCCGGCAGCCATTAGCACTAATGCGTCAGCAAACAGTGACGCGGTGGAATCAGCGAGTGCTGTAAAGAGCTCACGCTGAGAGCACTCGTTAGGGTTCACTTTGGTCTCCGGTGAGACTTACAAACTAGTTCCACTCTCGGCTCCTATTAGCCCGTTAGCTGCGAGGAGCTAGGAGCTCGCCCCCTTGGTGGACTGGGATAGAGGGTAGAGTGGTCGTGATCGGGAGGTCGAGGTTTCAAATCAACTGAACGGCTACCCTGAGGAACCCCTGAGCGAGGTACCGTCCCCACACACTGCTCCTCATGCGCTGCACTGGTGGCTGCCCACTGCTTCACTGGCTGAATGGGTTAAATGCAGAGGAATTTCCCTATGGGGACTAACACATACACATTATTATTATTATTATTAATGAGGGCAGGGCTGATGAGCTGAAGCAAGAGGTTAATCAGCTGGAGGGCTCTTCAGTCCCAGGAGCTTCTCTGCAAACTCTCAGGGCTCATCTGCACCAAAGGACCGACGCCTCTGCTGACAGGAAACTTTGAACCCATGTCTCCAACTTGTCAACTGGAGTCCAGACTGGAGCTAACTGGATGATTATTCTGCCTGCTGCTGACCGGGAACCACAGGAAGCCGTTTATGGGTTTTTATCTCAGTGAAGCCTTTCAGTGTAATCGTCCTGTTGGCTGTGCTGACAGAGACGTGCGTGGCGTTTTAACGCACAGATTATCCAGAAGCTTCCAGACACCCTGTAGCCTGCAGAAGACTTATTTCCCTACCGCAGAGCTCCTGGAGTCAAACTGCAGCTCACCTGCAGCTCACCTGCAGCTCACACTCCTCTGAGGCTGATTCGCTGCTGTCTGATGCCGTGCCTAATAAAGAGGCTGAGCTGTACTCAGAGCAGCTTGTCTCATAGTGTTTGATTAAGGAGACAAAAGGCAGACACAAGGTAAAATTAGCCTCAGTGTGTTTGGCAGGAAATACCTACAGATCTGATAGGCGTCCGCGGCGGCCTTATAAGGCGGCAGGTTGTGACCTCTGTTAATGAATGTGCTGTCGGGAGGTTTGCTGGCTCTGTGGGAACCGGAGAGGGAAGCTGCCTGAGGCTGTTTGTTCGAGCTCTCGGCGGGTTTACACACTGATACACCTCCGCAGATAGAGGACGCTCGATTTATGACTCCATCGTTAAACTGTGGCTGAGCCGAAGGCACCACGTCTCAGGTCCCGTGCTCCCCCTCAGCTCACCCGACAGACTTTCACTCCCACAAACTCCCAGCCTCTCTGAATTATCCATCACACGCGAGTCCCAGCCTCGCCTCCCGCTCCTGCTCTGTGTGCGAACGGCTTCACGGACGCTCGAAGTCCTCGCTTTGTACTGGAGAAACTATGCTGTTATAGTTTGAAAGCAGAAATGATGAAAAGACGATCAAAGACAGCGAGCGACGCAGGAAGGTTAGAGCGCTTTGTGGATGACTAAAACCCTGAAAAGTCAGGGCCTGCAGGCAGCTCGTCTGCACGTCTGCACCTCAGCCCGGCCGAGGCCGTGATCTCCGCTCACGGATCTCAGCTGGAGAACGGGCCGAAGCTCCGAGTGCAGGAGTTTTTCTGCAGGTGTATCTGCACGGCAGCTGGGACACGAAACCCAGGTTAGAGTGTCACGAGGAAAAAACAGCCAGATGTGGGTCTACGGCGGCAAGCTGTAGCGGTTTTTCAAAATAAAAGCCCTGTGCTCCATGCAGGACTTCAGAGGCTAAAGAGAATCTGGTCAAAACCGTAAAATCATCCACATACGCAGCTTACTGAAACACAGCTTTCAGCACCAGCATCCGTACTGCCAGCTGCTGTCAGTTTATCTACACTGCAGGACGATGCTTTACTGCAGTACCGAGTCAGAATCCTTCTGTTTAGACTCTGAGGGCTCCAGCATTAAACCTGAACGCAGGTCTGATCATCTCTGACAGGAAATGACTTAACAACAGGCGTGTGTCTGCAGCTCCTCTGACAAACCTGCCACAGCATCGCGGTCGATTCAGCTCGAGTTTCTGCCTCTGCTGCAGAGGAGGGGAGGGGGAGGGGGTAGAGGATCGCACACGCACACATCGTTTCTGTGTGTGTGTGTGTGTGTGTGTGTGTG